TATACCAAGTGTTCCACATGTGTCTGTTTGCTGCATGTGTAACATGCTTTTCTCGTTTCAAACTGAAGATAAATAATCATTTATTGCGACCAAACGGTGCATTTAATTTTGGGGGGATTAGTATGTGCGTGTTCATTAACAAATCCTGTTTTAATTGTGTAAATTTCAGTACTACCGCAGTTGTGGTTGTTCAGTTACATCGGATTATTATGTTGGGCCTGCGAATTTACTAATGTTATTGCCGTATAAAGCGAAGACCTTAAAATGGAGCACACCCCTGAAAGTCATGTATCCGCTTTAAATAGTCTGTGTAGAGTGTGTGGAAGACTGAAAATTACAGGGAAACAGAGAAAATCCTTTAAAAAGCCGTATTTGTGTTCGGAAATAGCCAGTGATCTCTTCCTTGTGTTTGAGTGGAATATCAAAGATAACACTAGTGACAAACACTCCAAATTTATGTGTTTGAAATGCTATAAAACAATCTTTGACGCTAGACGTCGAAATAGTGCAGTGTCCCTACAAACAATAAGAAATACTTTTGACAGCAGTCAACACATCTGGTGAAAACTGTGGTGCAAAATTGTGCAGTCTGTGAACAGAGAAAAAACTGCTCTCTCTTGGCTGTGCCTCAGTAAAGCAACGTGACCCCCAGTCTCACTACAGCAGTCAAGAAACACACACAAACCAAGCTAGTCCTAGCACCAACATTTCTGTGAGACAGACACAACCACACAAAGGACATGTACCCGTGCTCTCAGCACACTCAACGCAAAAAACAACCCACACACAGTACAAGTCACACTAGCCACACCAACCCTCTGTCTGTTGTCCCAGTCAGTGACAAATACGTAGATTTACAACATGCAGACACAATGATTCAGGACATGTGTGTATATATAATAATAAAACCTATAGCCTAATCAATAATTCGTGTGGAGTTAAGTGAGGGAAATGTGTGGATATTTACGGCAAAGTGATGCATAGATCAACCATTTTGAGGTTACAGAAACAGCGGTAGCAGTGAAATTTGATAAGTAGATACCCTTATGTGTTACGTTTATGTCCCTCAAAGATGAACTAATCCTGATGCTCATTTTTCTAATTATCGGCGTTCATTACGTCATAACTAGAAATGCTAACGGGAACCAGACAGGACCATCTTGCACTGTCTGTTACTACTGAACCAACCAATACTGATTCACTTTGTTTTTTTAAATATCATGAAAAAGACTTGAAACTTCTGATTCCCTCATGCAGTGATGTCTTTCAGTCAATATTATTGCGTTAATTAGCACTCAATTCTGGATGAAAAATACGATATTCTAAACCTCCCGCGCAGTCACGCTGACCGAAGAATGCCCAAGCGATGACCCCGCTCACTGTCAAAGGTCAGCGCAGCACTAGCTACCTGAGTTCTCAACTAAAGTATTCTGTTTCTGTGTGCCGTGGGTATAATTTTCTTCTTTTTTTTTGGGCGGGGAAGGTTATTAGAGAAAACTAGAGAAATAAAATACTTTCTATTACTTCTAGTTTTTACATCTTTGCAGAACCTGTCCTCCCATACTCAGGTCTGTCATCAGAATGTCCATGAGCCATATTTATAACAAAAGAGTAATAAAAAAAAATCAAGGTTAACTGTGTAATGTGTTGCCTCTGAAAATCACCATTCATCTAAGTCAGTGTGGACTATTTGTTCTCACTTTTTTGTTTACAAAATTTTACACCAAACCATTTTGTGGCAACAAGGGTTGCATTTTTCTATTATAAGTATTCGGGTTAAATTTTTTAGCAATGGAGAAATTTAATTCCATATGGGTTAGGTTTTTCTTGTGTCAATCTCTTTAAATATTTTCTCAGTTACACACATAGTTTGCATACGCCTCTGGTAATATATTTTTTTCGCAATAGCAGATTTGGGTTATTAAAATTGATCGTAGTCTGGCTACTTTTCAGGTGCACAGATACCATCAGTAAGGCTCTCTATGGCAAAACTGTCAACTTGTTCACAACCAAACTTTTGTGAGTATGATTAGTATTCTTTCAAACTTCACTTTTATTTATTGCCTTTCTTGTTTGCCCATCAATATTGGACTCTGCATTTGTTAGCTCATGTTGAGACCTATTGTGAAGTTCTATTCAAAGTTGTTGTTTTTTTCATCAGTAACACCTTGATGTATTTGTCTTTGTGTCTCCTTTTTCTTGGCTACGTGGATGGATAGTGGTTATTCTGTTATAGGTAATCTGGTGTGATTTGTTCCTTCTTTCCTATCAAACATCCATTGTCCTTTTTGTGTTTGTTACTCTCTTGTAATGCCCCTAATCTGTGGCACTTATTTTATTTTATTGTGTTTCAAGTGCCGTGAAACTCTTACTAAACCGTAACTCTCTTGTTTACGCTTTCTTCTTCTATTTCATCTATTCATTGGAAAATCTGCCTGTTACCATGCTGTTTCACATTGTATGACAATCCGTTTTTGGCTATTCAACTCAGGAGTGCTGCCCAAGGGATATCGGTGACAAGCAGTGTGAATGCTGTGACCATTGACCTGAGAGGGGAGTCTCCAACTCTGCAGTGTCTCCTGGACTATGTGTGGACACACTGGGAGGACCAGCTGGATGTGAGTCCTACACGAATTAAAAAATTATTAATGATTGGTCCAAAGGCCTTTTTTGTTATCTGTTTCTTAAAAAATGTATTTTTAAAAATTCAAAACAATGATACTTGCGGGGGGGGGTTTGTAATCAATTTAGTGCATATTTGCACTCGATATAAGCTATTTTTGTTTGCAATTCATTTATTGCATGTTTACACTCGATGTAAGCTATTAAGTCTTCTCTTCTTTCGGCTATATTTTCCTGTTAAAGTAAAGTTGTTCCCGCATCCAATCTGAACATTGGTGATTGCCTTGTCAGTGAGACAACTTCCTGGGCCTTCAGCTTATTGTGGTAGGGTGGCCAGTTCCTTTCCACGCCGCCTTTACTTCCCCAACTCGAAGTCAGGTACCCATTACAGCTGGGTGGGCAATATTTTCCTGTTATAGAACCTTTATTTCTAGCTGATACACATATCTGTCGGGACTGTTATTTGTAAATTCAGGAGAATGTATACCGAAAGCTTCCTGTTCACCCAAACAAATTTTTTGAAAAAACATGGAAGAAAGTTAAGGGGTTGCTCTTATTTCATATGTGTTTTAGGTTTTTCTATTTGCATGGAATTATTTGTGTTTTGAGACCTAGATCTAGTCCAGTTACAGCAGTTTCTTTCGCTTTTCTCTGTTGGCTGGGCCAGAATGTTATCACATTTTAAATTGTTTTTCCCAGGTGATACGACAAAGTGCAAAAATTGTGTTTGAAAATGTCCTGAAAATTCACACCACTGTCGCTCCTGGTAAGAAAAGTTGACAGTCTGTTGTTCTGAACTGTTTTCCCTGCATATTGTTATCATTAAAGAGTTTAGTATATTTGAAATTTGAAATATTTGTGACATCTGTTCAAAATTGTTTTGAGAATTTGCGTTAATGAGGGCATTGTAGAATTCAAAACTTTCATTCCTTCTTGATATTTTAATTCTCATGTGCTTTGAGCTTTTGGAGGTTTGCCTCTGTGTACATAAGGGTGTCTACATAAGTGGTGATTCCTACTGATAGTGTTTGTTTATATCAATGATTGTTATCTTATTTCAGTCTTTTGGTCCAGGTTATCTTTATTTACTTTATCTGAGCTGTTGTGACTTACTTTAAGTTTGTCTTATTTTACCTGTCGTGGCTGCCTTCATATACTGTCTTTTATCGATCTTATCTTATTCTTTGAATTTAACTAAAATAATTTTTTTCACTCTTCGCATTTGATGGCATTTGGCATACTTTGTCTTCAACTACTTGATATATAGTTCTGTATGATCTAACCAACCGAACTTTATCTTGGGGTTTTTTGGGGGTAAAATCTCAAAAGCAATTTTTAATCTAGTTTTGTCTTATTTTATCTTATGCTTTCTACAGAGATGCATAACAAAGAGGACTCGTTTCTCCAATCACTGTTGCAACACTTGTTCACGGTCAGCTGGACGTCGCGGGGCAAGTTTGGTGCTTTAACCAGCTGTGGACGTCTTGTTGGGGCACAGACAGTACTCACTCTGAGGCCCGAGTTACCCACAGAAGTTGTGCAACAGTTACAAGAACAGGCCTCATCTTGCTATGTATGTGCTGGGCATTAAAAGAATTAGTTTTATTTTTTTGTTATATCCTTTGGAATCGTATCTGTTGTTTAATGGTTAGGCCTTTTACTTTACTTTCAACTATTGCCATAAGGGGGTTGGGATCTCCGTCTTTTGGCTTGAATGTGTCCCACACAGATTGGGTTGGCCCTGACAATCTGAATGAAAGCTTCGCCTTTTAAATGTTCAAACTTGTTTTGACAAGGACATGAAACATTTACAATCAAACAAATCATCCCCATTGGAGGCTTTTGATTACGATTGCATGATTTATGCAGTCAATGATTACATTATTGCGTTATAAAATACCTTTGTCATTGCTGAAGAAAAAAAAATCATTAAAATTTGCTTAAATTTCTTTTCTAAACTCCCTGAACTTTTTTTGTCTATATATATTTTAGAACTTAATCTGTCTCTCCTCTCTTAAAATATTCCATCTGAGGTTGATGCTAGTTCAGAAGTTTGACATTTTTGGACAATAAATTTTTTTTACATATCAACAGTTTTTGTAACTTTTTGGGGGGATGTTTTCTCACCATTAGTCTCTCTCTGCTAGCCTCTTGATGTACAGCTTCCTTCCTCTAAAAATGATTTCACATATTTAAATGATGACTTTTTAAATGGAAATTTTTTTAACATAGAGATATAGAAGTGTATATGAATTAGTAAAAACAAATTTATTTGATGAAACATTTTATTTTGGTCATTATGGCATGGTTGTAGTTTGTACAGACATCCATTTAAAGAGTTGGAGTTCCATTCTTCTTAAGCAGGCTATAATTTTTTTTAAAGTCTTCCACCGTAACATATGGCCAGACCCTCTATCTGAGAGTGAGTTAAAGGTGGCTTACAATACAGTCTGTGTCTATAAATAGTACATTAATCTTGCTCAACCAACCAACTTGTCAAGACTGATGTATGTTCTCTCTCTCTCTCTCTCTCTCTCTCTCTCTCTCTCTCTCTCTCTCTCTCTCTCTCTCTCTCTCTCTCTCTCTCCCTGTGTTTCTTTGTCATACCCCTGTCCCCACAACAACCCTGCAGGCAAGTGAGCTGTACTCTGCACTGTTCACGCAACATTTGCAAGATCTTTCAACGTCCAGTTCTAATGAAAGAGGAGACGGACAGACAGACCAAACTGTGAAGGAGGCTGCTCAGAACTTGGGAAAGTCAAAGAATGTTCCAGATAAGTCGGCTGTAAATGCCCTCAGTAAGCTAGGAGACGACAAGAAATCTTTGTTTCATCAAACATGGATGTTGCCCGTTGTACGAGCTTTGACTTCTAGCAACAAGAAACTCAAGCAGAATATTATAGAGGTGAGTGTTATGTTTTCATGCTGAATTTGGGATTAATGTTTGTGAAGGATAGAATCTCTGAATAGTTTTATATAATAATTCTTTTGGATGAAGGCTGATATGTCACAGTTGGATCTCCTTTATCCTGTACTAAAGGAGGAACCTGGTATTTCCCGAAATGTATTAAAGTACCAACCTTGCATTTCAAAATCATCTCATTTTTCATCTTTTTTCTTCCTGTCCATATTTTATTCTGTTCTCTCTTTTTCTTTTTCTACATTTCAGATGCAGTGTAATTTCTGAGCTTCTATTTCTCCTTCTTTCTTCTCTACGTCCGTATTAGAAGACAGTGTCAGTCCATTTTCATGAGACCAATTTAATTCTGTATGTGAAATCTTCTTTATCTGAAACCTTCTGCACTGCTCTTTCAAATAGATATGCAGTTTATATATTGATTCTAATAACTTTTTAACGAGATCGACTTTGCCTCTGAAATTGCATTTTTATGTCCCCTGTTTTCTTAGATATCTAAAGCTTTTTTTTCCAAATGACTGTTTTATTGTGAGGATAATCATTCATCTCCTCAGTATTTGCTTCCAAGACTTTTGAAAGTTGGAGACCAGGTTTTGAGCTACATGGTGCAAAAATTGTCGTCAAATAATATAGGTAAATTTGATAAGCATTTGTATGTTGCTGGTGAGCTGTTTGAGCTGCCATTTCTTTTTTCTTTCTTTTTCTTGTACAAGGTCTGTTGTTATTAATCTACAGCTGTTGTCTAATGCCATTTTATTCTGTTCTGAACACAAGATCAGATTCCAGTACTTGTGATTGAATTATTTTTCTTGATTTTTTTAATGCCATTCTTCAAATGAATATATTTAGATTGTCTTGTTGTTTATGGTATAATGTTAATATTATTAAGTGTAAGCTTTTTGTGTGTGACATAAAATTGACGGCTGTTTGCATTAGTGGGGAGGGGAGGGGAGGGAAAGAATTCCTTGTCTTTGGTTTGTTTTTCTTTGGGGATTAGAGGGAGGGGGGGAGGGGATTGTATCTTACATGCCGCTGATGATCAAATGCATAACTTTTAAAACTAGGTGGCAGTCTTGAATCAGAATTCTTTTCCTTACTTTTTCCAGTTTTGGAGCTAGAGTATTTAAATTGCATTTCTCTAGTTCAAACTGTGATTGCAAATATTAAGTCTGAGTTGTAACTACCAACAGTTGACGACAGCGTGCAGACACACCCCCACCACGGTGCCATCATCATGTGTCTACGGAGGGCCCGAGTCATGGGCTTGTTAAAGTCTGCTTCACAGAGTGGTCAAAGTGAGAGCTCAGGCTTCTTGTGGTATGGTCAGCTTGACCCAATTGTGCTCCGGTCAGCTTTGTGCAGTTTGGATGAACAGGTAAATGAATTTCTAAAGGCAAAGGAATTGTTGTGATATTGTTTTGTGCAGTAATCTGTTTTAATTTTAGACGCACTTTTATATACCGTGTGTGTTACTAAATATAAATAGGTGTATTTCTATTGCAGAGGAAATGTGAGATTTTTTTTTGTGGATGATTCAATTTTTATATTAGACTTGTATGTGTTGTGTTTGCATGTGTGTGTGTTTGTGTTTGTGTGTGAACAAAGAGACCTTTGGAAGAGGAAATGTGAGATTTTTGTGTGGATGACTCTTGGGTTTGGCGGTGATAATCTTTTTGCATTTTTCAGATTCGATTAGATGCTTTTGCGCTAGTGATTGAAAATCACAAGACTACTGAGGCCATAACTTCTTTTGAGTTTGAAATGATCAAGTTCTTCCTTCCAACCAACTTGAACAACCAGTCCCCTGCTTTCAGACAGGCAGTGGTTGCTCTCATGAAAAAGGTAGGAAATAGTCGGGAGAATGATAGTTATTAATAGTATGTATGCTTTTCTCGCCCTTGTGCTCTTCATGTGAATGCTTTATTTTAGAAAGTTATGTGTTAATATGCTGTTTTCTTTTGTGTTACAAGCATGGTAGCATTAACCCTCGCTCTCCCCCGCTCTGTCTCACTCCCACTCTATCTCACTCTTGCTCTCTCTGCCCCCACCCCCTGCTTTCTCACTCTCTCTCTCTCAATAATGTAAATGGTCTATTTGTTTGTTCCTGACAATTCCATTTTTTGTGGGTGGTTGTCAGGAGCTCTGGTGTGGTTTGCTCCTTCTTTCCTATCAAACATCTATCGTCCTTATCTCCCCTCCTTCTTTTTTATGTTTGTTACTCTCTTGTAACACCTCTAATCTTCTGGCGCTCATATGACCTTATGCAGTTGCGAGTGCCGTAAAACCTCTACTAAAACAAACATTTTTTATTGTATGATTCCTTAGAGTCAAAGGCGTTAAAACTTTTCCTCTCAAGTTGTGAGATTTCTTTGACTTTTTAATTCAGTACACGTTTTTATTTCAGTTTTTCTTTAGAGTGAAGGAGTCATGTGGAGCTCTGAACAGATTGGTAAAGAAATCTGACAAGCTGTCACCTGCTCATGCTTCCAGACAAAACTATCAGGTGAATTTTTAATCATTTTGAACAGGTTTCTTTTACTTCCCCTGGAGACAAATACTGAGGACGGCTACTATGTGGTGCTACTTTAAAAAAAATAATCCCTGATACTCTGGTATACTTTTTGTTCCAAGCATAGGTAGTGTTCTCAACCTACTTTTGGAGTGTAATTTTTAAAAATGTTATTTTGAACACTGTCTTTTTGAATGGGGTAGCAAAATATTATTTTGAAATCTATCTTTTACCTTATGGAGACTGTGAGTTAGCCTTCTGTGCAATGGAATGTGGATGGACTGTTCCTTTGGGCTTAGGGTATCAGGGCTCAAGGGTTGATGGTCAGATGGCAAAAAGTCCCTTTGAATACTATCTATTAAGTGTCCGAAAGGTTATTAGATTTGGTAGGGACCCCTAACATTGGTTTGGTCCTGCTTTTATTGACAAAAGCGTGCACTCGTAAACTTGTTTGGATAAAATGCTGAATTGTATGTTTTAAACATTGCAACTTGATAATGATATCACAGCCTTATATTTGAAACAATGTCCACGTTATTTTTAATATCACTCTTGAAATAAAATTTGGAAGCTTGTGGTAGACATGGTCTTATCTACAGAAATATTAGAATGGAAAGCAAATTGGAGTAATTCAACCATAGCTATTTTGAAATACATATATAAACTTAGAAACCTGTTATTCAATTTGTTAAAGTGAGAGCTTTTCTGAAATCATCTTGTGATCTGTTTGTGATCTTTTCCCCAGGATTTCCTGGACTGGCTAAGTGGTCATCTGCTGGGCTGTCTTTATCCAGGCTCAGCATTTGCATACCGCACCTGTAGTCTTGCCATCTTGTCTCTGATGACAACTTTCTTCTCCACAGGTCTGTTTTACTGGAATAACAATAAGTGTCTGATTGTCTATTTTTGCGTGTGTCTGTGAGTTTGTGTTTGTATGTATGTGTGTATCTGTGAGTCTGTGTATGTGTGAATACACATTTTTAAAGATATAGTGTAGATTTCATTATGTCTGATTTTCATGGTGCAATTTTGTGTCCTTGGGAAATATTTTTTACAAAATTTTCTGTTCACCTTGCCAGAATGAAGTATTTGATATTAAAGAGACAAGGAATTTGTATGAATGATGTTGGACAATGTCTGATATGTAGCAACACTGTTTGTGACTGTTTTTGATTTGTCTGAACTTCCGTAGTATTCATTACTTTTGCTCCACTTTAAAAAAAATGTTATTGTGTTTATGGGTTGTGGGTTAGGTTGTTTTTTGAGGTGGGGGAGAGGGGGAGGTGGTACTTGAACTCTACAGATAATAATATTGTGACTCTATTTTGACTTCATAAATATGTCTTTTTATTTCTTTAACATCCTCCACCTAGAATTATGATGCAAATAAAACATATTGTACCCATTTTCTGAAAATTACATCATATTATGTTTGTCATTTCTTGCTGTATCCTTGTTTTCTTTTGCTTTGTTTTCAGAGAGTGATGGCTACTCTCTCCCCTCCTTCTTGTCGGACACCCATCTCCATACCCTACTTGAATGCCTCTCTGATACTTTTGAGGAAAACAAAAAAGAAGCTCTGAAAATCTTGACAGCTTACATGACCCAAGTAGGACCAGTGTGGGTAAGTGAAAGAAGGTTAATGATAAATACAGTATCCATAGCTTCAGTCTCTTGACATAAACTGATTTTATGTCACTGAAATTGATGATACTTTAAAGTTAGACATATATATATATGAGGTTGCTTTCTGCAACATTTACAATTTAAATTTTGCTAAAATATTTCTTGAGCACATGTAGCCAGTTCCACAGATGTTAAGAAACTGAAGTAAAAGGAAGTATAAATATTTTGGACTCATTACATTTTAACACCTTTGGGACCACCGACGTGCTTATACGCGAACTGTGCCCGAATCGGACCACCGACGTATATTTACACGATGGCAATATCACTCATTCAAGCGGGTTTATTCAAAATTATCCATGTTTTCAACTGCTTGTTCAACACAGAAGAGCTCTTTCCTTTTCGAATTCACCGAAGTTGTAGCCAGTTTGAGTTAATTAGAAGGGAAAAAGTGTCTTTGAAACAAGCATTTTCAAGGGATGTTGGTGGCGGTTCCGGTCCTGGGGATGGGATCAGCTGGTGTTTGGCAGGTCCCGAAGATGTTAAACAGCTAGGAGACGATGTCATTTTTCAGTATTTTGGATAGTGAATAAATCTCCCCCTTTCCTTACACCTCGTCAGAACCCCGACCAGCTGCGAGAAGCTCTGGTGTCCTCGATGACGCTAGCCTGCAGCACCAGGCCTCAGGACTGTGGCACGGCCGCATACTTCTTCCTCACCTTGATGAGACAGCAGCAGCTACACCCGGACACTTTTGACTTGTCTCGTGAGGGTTTTCATTTTCTTTCCTGTTTCAGCATTTTTTTCTTTGTGTGCTGTCCTAAAGATAAGGCAGGATGATCTCTGTTCATCCAGTGTTTTGTTTTATTTAGTTTTTGTTTGTTGGGGTTTCTTTTTTGGGGAGGGGGTAGTATTTATTAATTTCTTATTTTTGATTCCTTTTTTTTTTTTTTTTAAACTTTAGGGGAACAATACCTATAGGGAGACGGAGGGAAATTCAGTGATAGTCTTGTTTGGCTTCCAGCAGACGACTCACCAATCTCATTATGACTCCCTTAACTGGCCTGTGCATTCTGATTCATCATTTATGTGCCACAATGTAGATACATCATAACAGCTTGTGCAGTGCTCAAACTTTATTAGATACAAATTTTATGTCTCACCTTTGCTTCCCACTGGGTCATTTTTTAGGTAATATGGGGATGAGACCTTTTCATTTTGTCTTATTGCTTTTTATATATTCTCTTAAGTTTAGTGGGCGAGATGGGGGTGGGGGAAGTGTTTTTTTGTAGATATAATGGCATTAAAATTTCTTCACTAAAGCCCTGGATTTTTTATGAATGTTTTAGAAATATGAAGAAATAGGTTTTGTTTTGATATACATTTATTTAAGCCTTTCTGAGGCAGAACCAGTGCAGGCAACTGTACTTTATATGAGCCAAATTTTGCATCTTTTGTGCAAAATTAATTTGATTGCTTTGTTCTTTTGGGGAGGGTCTCTCTTTTAAAAATTTTAAAATTTCAAGTTGAGAAAAACATGTCAATGTTCACTTCGTCAGAGCTACTTCCCAGCATATCCCACCTGTGGGCGTCATCCTCCATCCCCTCCTCGATGACTTCATCTCCAAAGCTGTTCTTACTTCCTGTGCTGGTGTCGCTGCTGAACGATCAGATCGCCGTGGCTCAACACAGTCTGATCACAGCCGCGGCAAACAGACCCATGTATCCCACGCTACACTGCATCAGATTTATTCTACATGAGCTCGACTTCAGGTAAATAAGTTTTGTTTTTTTCTGTTGTTGTTTTGGTTTTGTTTTGTTTTTTATAGGGGGTGGGGTGGGTGGAGGGGATTCAAGTTTCAAACCCTACTAAACATGATAAGGTTACTTCAGAGGAGTGAAGCCTGTGGTGAAGCGGTTAGGCTCTTTGCTGTTCCATGTAGATGTCATGCACGTGGGGAGACTTTTTATCAAATATCTTTATCTTTTTACTGGGACATTTTATCCCTCTCATCCTGGGTTGGCCGTGACAGGCAGGGTGCAAGCAGCCCTCCTCCTAAATGATCTAAATAGTCTGCAATTAGATTAAATTACAGCTATTCTTAGGTTATTTAGGAGTATGCTGTCAGTTTGATGAATGTTACTAATGCATGTCTTTTTCTGATCCTTAGCACCAGCTAGATTGTTTAGGAGTGTTTTTGGCAGATTGATGAACATTGCAAATATTTGTGCTTCTCGGAGCCTTAACACCTCTTAGATTATGTAGGAAAGTTGCTGGCAATTTGACAAACACTCCCTTAGAATTACACAGTTCTGGCATTTTTGGCTGTTTTTAGTTACAAAGACCATGCGATCAGAAACCAAATGCTCTATCTGCTCTGTCAAAATCGCAAGTTGATGAACATTACTAATGTGCATGTTTCTCTGGGCTTTAACACCTATTGTTAGATTGTTTGGCAGCGTTGCTGACAATTTGAAGGATGTTAATGACTATTCTGTTAAATTTCTCTTAGACTTTACAACTCTTGTTCGATTTTTAAAAAGAGAGTTTTTCTGGAAGTTTCATAAAGGTTACATTTTACTTCCCCCAGAACCTTGACTCCGGAGATGTTACCTTCAGTAAGAGACTTCATAGCCTCACTTATACACAGCTGCTTGAACCTGTCTACTGTAGTTTCCCCTGTCGTGCAAAATTCTTCCCCTGAGGGTAATGTTCCAGAGGATGCTATCTTAGGTAATTTCCCCTTAATGGTGCTCCGAGTGTACTCTCTCGAACCTCAGTTGTAGTCAGCCTTCAGAGTGAAAATTGAAACGATAAGGTAAAAGAAAGAACCAGTGAAAGAGTTTGACATGTAATAAATTTCAGTTAGAATGTTACGGTGGATTGCATGCTCAAGATGAAAGGCAATTTGCTTGAATGTGTTTATTTAAACATTTTTGAATAGCACGATGACTTCTAAATGGAAATTTACTAAGTCCTAGTAATATGAGATGTTTCTGGCTGTTTTTTTCTCTCCAGTACTTTCCACTTCACTGTACATTTGAGCTGTCAATATTTTTAGCTCTCTCATATCAGTAAAAGGGTGTGTTTTCTTTGTTTTGTTTTTTTATGTACATCCCTTTTTTTTTGCTTGTGCAGTTTAACTGAAGGATTGTAATTCTCGTACAATAAATGTCCTTTTTGTTAAATACTGATGTGAACTTATCAAGATTTGTTCATATGAATGGTGTACCTATTTCAGGGCCTGGCCTGAATGTTGGGGGAGCATTGCCAATTGCAGAAGACTTGTCCAAAGGTAAGTAGTCTACGATCAGTATAGATTTTGTTAGTTCGGTCATATATAAAGGGCATTTATAACCTTGAGCCTCGAGGGAAGCTGCATTCAGCCGTCTGTGAAGTGATGTGTTGACCATTTGCTGAATTGTTTTGTGGTTTGCACACATATACTACGTTCAGTTTCATTTGTAATGTTTCAATGAAATTTCATAGTGCTACTACTTCTCTGCAGCTGCAGTTGCAACTAGTACTTTTGCTACCACTACTACCACCACCAATACTAATGATAATAATAAGAATAAAGAACATTTCTACATAACTTGCTTCCTAGTGGCTCTTGGGCTTCACAATGAAATGAAATATCAACAGCTAACAAAATGATACGTTTAATGCCTACCAGCCCATTCATTGTACAGTAGTCTCCGCCTAAACGCACGGTGCTCGGGAGGGCTCCTTAGCGTGTGTTTATACGGAGCGTGCGTTTACATGAACCTTAGCAAAGGGGAGGAAGGGATGCAGTCGTCTCATTGCCTTGATATACTAGTTACCTCCCTTTGGGGTGGGGGTCACTTTGGCCGATAATGTGACGACACGTGACTGTTTTGTAAAAGATTCCCCGACTACGGTTAAGACTGCAAAAGCGTTGAATCGGTATGTGTGTGTGTGGTGGTGGGGGGGGGGGGGGGGGCAGAAAGACAGACTTGATGTAATGAATGAACCATAAAATGTCGGGAACCAATAGCCTGAAAAGAAATTGTTGGTGATAGTCATAGAGACGGCGGCCCAGCCACGTGGCTTTCCAAGCGACCTCCCCGACCGTAAATTCATGAACAAGCATTCACGCGTGTTGCACATCTTAGGCTTAGGTCTATTTAAACATTAGCCAACACGCAGTCACTCAAACACCAGTCAGAAACCTTCTCTCAAAAGAGATGCATTTCCAGTGACCAATCAAATAACGTTTCAGTCCCCAAACCCCCCCCCCAGCATTTCACCGACCAGTCCTAAACCTATGTGTCAGTGGAAAGTTGGGTGTGAAAACGTTGTCCGTCACTGTCTTTGTTCGGCGTAAGGGGCAGTCTCACCAAATATCCGGTTTTCTAGGCTTGTCATAGTGAAAATTTCCCTTAGTCAAGCTTTACCTTTCAGCATGTTTCCCAGATCGGAGCGTGCGTTTAGAGGGAGTGACCGTGCGTTTGTACATTTAAATTATATAGTAAAAAACCCATCAGATGACGAAAGCGTGCGTTTGAGCGGAGCGTGCTTTTGTATGGCGTGCGTTTGAGCGGAGCGTGCTTTTGTATGGCGTGCGTTTAGGCGGAGACTACTGTACACAATCCTTTCAAATACACTTGTCGCAAGAAAAATCAAATTAGCTGGAAAAATAGAATGTAAATGATTGTGTGTTTAGACCAGTTTTAAATGTGGTCAACATAGGCACCGTTCTTACTACTACTGCCTCTATCTTTACGATATTTTTTTTCTCTTATTTAGCTTCACAAGACTCCCTCTCAACCCCTTCCTTGCCCAACCTGGAGCAGTCAGTTGAGCTGAGCAGAGCTCTAGTGGAGTCAATGCCCGAGTATCTCGTGGTGTGCTGCTGGCGGAGCATCAAGGAGGTGTCCTTGACCCTGGGCAAGATGTGCCTTCAGATACCAGTGACCTTGATCCTGGAGAAGGAAAAAGAGGGCAGCCTTTCGCTTCTTACACTGGACCAGGTACATTTTTGTTAAAAATATGATGAGTTAGTGATGGTGGTGTTAAATGAGAATTGTTTTAATTTTTGCTTTTAGATTTTTTAAAACTTATTTTTATTGAAAATTAACTTTGTATGTTGCACATTTGATGTATTTATCCAAAATTTTCTAAAAATGTTTTGTCAAAGGTTTACTTCAATAGAAAGAAAGGTTGAGTTTTATTGCCTGATGTTTTTAACTCAGAAATCAAGTGCTTATCAAACAGACTTGCAAGACCTACAGCCTTCTTAATCTTTGTATACAGATGTGTGAAATATAGTAAAGTACCTGTCGTCTTTTTTATTTAAATATTATTATTATAGTCTGTTGTGAGGTTAATGAAAAATTGAGAGAACAAAGTATTTTCAGTTTTTAAATTTTTCAGTGTGTTTATTTTTTGTTACATATTTATAGGATTCAATAATTGCAATTTTATTATCTTAATACACTCCTCTGATCAGCAAAAAAATTGCAGTTATGTCAGCTTGCAAAACATTTAGTGAAAGATTCAATCAGCAAACGCTTAAGGCACCGGCATCCCAATACATTTTACATCTACAGAAACATGGGGAGGGATATTATCCATCATGTTGTATGTGCCTTCTCCCTGTTCCCTTTCCTCAGGTGCTGACCATTGGAGACCACTTCACCCAGCAGCTTCTTGAGTCGATTCACCGTGGAGCGTTTGAGCTCGCTTACGCGGGGTTCCAGCTGCTGTGTCAAATGTTGTGGAGGTGAGAAAAGGAAGCGTTGCCTGACTCATTTCACCGCTGGAATCATTTTTGTTTACTTTTTTGGTTAATTATTGTAACATTATATTCACCGAGTTTTAACCACCAGCTGGATGGTATTCTGAAATCATTTTTTGAAACAAAAGAAATAGGCATTTAAGTTTTTTCTCTCAAATAAACTGCCTTCTAAATTTCGAAGGATGAGAATGTGGACATAAAAACAAACATTCTTAAACTATTGTAATGGAACAATGGATGTACTGTTTCCTATTTCCTTTGTACTCTAATATTATGGGGGGGGGGGATTGTTTATTTATTGGTAAAAAGTGAACATAGGTTAAGAATCAATGCCTTGTCAGCCTGAAGATTCATTCAGATTTCACCATCCTTCTCCTTTCTCCCCAGCCATCCAGCCCCTGCTTTCCACCAACTCCCTGCTCAGTGGTTGTCTCAGGTGATGGCAGACATTCAGTCAAAAGATCCCAACTCCCGCCTTTGTTCCACACGTCGCAGTGCAGGCGTTCCCTTTTTTGTACAAGTAAGTGTTCAGCAGTATAAGAGGTGTGGGATCCCATAACTTTAGTATGTGGCTTAGTCTTGAAGATGCTGCTGACTCTTGTAAAATGGGGCCTTGATGTTGCTTTCTCTCCATAAGCCTCTACTTATTGATGACTCATCCTAAAGGTGCAAGGTTTTTTTAACACTTTGCCCCCACGGGATGCCAATCAGCGACGGTAAGAAGCCGTCCCTTTTCCCCATGGTACGCCGATCGATGCCGGAGTGATATAGCGTGTACCACACCTGTATCCTGGTCTGTGGGGATAAGTGTTGCGTGCTCTGCGCGCTGTGTGGGTTGAAAGTCTTAATGGCGAAGACTCGGTTTCTTTTCTAAAACATTTAAGTCTAAAGCTTTTTAAAAAACTTTCTTCCAAGAAAGGCTGATCATTTTGCTATTGTTCTTTTAGTAATGGCAAAGATTTTTGCTGATCACTTGTGTACTTATATGTATCTATTTCTATATGTTTTGCTGATTACTTGTGTACTTATATGTATCTATTTGTATATGTTTTGCTGATTACTTGTGTACTTATATGTATCTATTTGTATATGTTTTGCTGATTACTTGTGTACTTATATGTATCTATTTCTATATGTTTTGCTGATTACTTGTGTACTTATATGTGTCTATTTCTATATGTTTTGCTGATTACTTGTGTACTTATATGTATCTATTTCTATATGTTTTGCTGATTACTTGTGTGCTTATATGTATCTATTTGTATATGTTTTGCTGATTACTTGTGTACTTATATGTATCTATTTCTATATGTTTTGCTGATTACTTGTGTACTTATATGTATCTATTTCTATATGTTTTGATGATTACTTGTGTACTTATATGTATCTATTTCTATATGTTTTGATGCTCCCTGAAAACTGTAAATGCTTCAGGGTCTGTCAGGGTAATTATCAATTATAAAGAGCTTAGAGTCTACTTTCGAGTTACCCTACCATATATATGCAGTTTGTCAAATGTATATTTTCTTGTTACTGTTACATGTCTCTACTAAATCTCGTTCTAAATCACTTGGAGTTGTGAAAGATTATAGGGGCTTGAGTGTTTTGTTAAGATTCAGTTTTGTAATGTCAGATTTATCTGAATTTTGTTTATAAAGTTGAGGCAATCTTTTCCAATGAGCAGTTATTTTTTTAGTCCAGCCATCAGAATAAACATTTTAGGCCTGCTGCCTGCAGAGTAATAATGCGATAAAAAAAGTTTTTTTATTTTTCACATTTCTGTTTTTAGGCCATTGCATCATCAGAGCCAAGTACTACAGGGAGGAAATGTTTCCATGGTGTGATGAAGGAACTGTTGGCCATAGCATTGCCTGATGACAATCAGAGGGAGGGGACAGAGACTGATGATGCACAGGTGAGATATCATTTCCCTATTTTTATTTTTATGCTATCAAAAATTGGCCAACATATTACTCTGATATTTACAGGGATGTAAATCTTCTGGCTTTTTCTGTTTTTTCCGGCTGACTTGCCATTTGGGTGGGCCAACATGTGTCCGCGATCCGGCCGGCCGGAAAAAAAATTTTTAAATCCCTCTCGGCGCTGGCTTAACTAGTCCGATAGCGACGCTGTCACGCTTGTTGCTGTGTTTGTTTTCAATTCGAGTTGGATTTATTACCATAGGACAGGGATGTAAATCTTCCAGCTTTTTTTTTCAAAACCTGTTTACATCCCTGTATTTAGTTTAAGAGGAGGAAGAGTTTATTGGAAAGTTTTTTGCCGCTGAATCTCTTCCTTCCTTTGTCTGTCTTTGAGTAATCTTGGAAAGGACTTTTTATATTTGCATGTTTCAATGAATTTGTGCTTTATTCTTCAATGAACTGGATTTGTAACTCTATATAAATGAGTCTTTTTCTTGCAGGAACCTGTTATTACCTGCAGTGAATGTCAGTCTATAGTAAACCTTCAGTTGTCTTTTCATTTCCAATTGTGTTCTTTTTAAAGGATTTTATTTAATTTAGAGTCTTCAGATATGGCTTTCTTATACTTTGTATGCTTCATTTTCTTGACAGGTACATTCCTTGAACATTTTACGGGCCTTGTTCAGAGATGCTCGACTTGGTGAAGATGTTGTTCCATATACTGCTGATGGCCTGAAAGCTGCAGTGCTGGGGTTCAAATCTGATGAATGGGCTGTAAGTTACTCCTTTTTCTTTTTCGTTTTTACTTCGAGATCTGTTGTATACCATGGTGTTGTTGGAACTCAAACTGTCACTCACTTTGCAACTTGACTGTCGTTCTTTTGATTCTATCTGTATATATTTTCAATTCAAATCTTATCATTATTCTCCTATCCTCTTTGTGTTAAAATACAAATTGTCTCTTTAAATGTATCGTTTAATTAGCTCCATTTTCACTTCTTCTGAAACCCACTTTTTCTGCAAAGGTAAATGAAGTCGTTTCTTCTTTTCTCTCTTCCGGTTTCCCATCAACTAAGATGTTTTAAGTTGTTTTCAATTTTCTTTTCTTTAATGTTTTGTTCTTGCTGCTCTTCTCTCTTTCTTCTTCTACTTTTCTTTGGGCTGGTCTTTCTTCAGAGGACTATTCTTTTCTCTGATTGGTCATAATTATTTAGTTTATGTATCTGTTTTGCCCAGGTTCGAAACTCTGCCACCCTGTTGCTGAGTGCACTGATGACCAGAATGTTTGGTGTAAAACGCAGCAAAGATGAGACAGCGATGTCCAAGAAAAATTGGTCTGTCACTTGTTCTTATGATAAGTTATAATTAGTCACAGTGGAGATTATGAACACCCCTCGGAGTGGTGCCACTGATTGAAGTGTCTTTAGGTCATTCCCAAAGGGGAGATATTTCTCGTTCTAATGCACAGTAGAATTGTGAATGGGCTGATTCAACAATGTCATGCTCATAACTGTGCCTGAACTATAACAGGGAACTGCTGCTTTTTCTGTCCTAATCCTTACTATCATCATTTCCTCTACTTCTTTTGTATGTTTGTCACACTCTTGTGACCTGCTATTTCCAGGGTGCCTCCATAGTTGAAACAGACTTTGTACTGTTGAAGCTAGAGAGGTGAGCAGAATAAGCCCGATTCCCTGTAAAGACTTCTCTGTTGACATCCACCCCTTGGCGCTCATATGACCGTATGCAGTTGCGAGTGCCGTAAAACCTCTACTAAATAAATAAGTAAAGGGGATTATGAACAGTCATTTGTACTTATGATAAGTAATAATTATTCATGGTGTGGGTTATAGACAGTCACTTGCTCTCATGATAAGTTACAATTCATTTGAGGGAAAAGTGGAGAAACCTATTTGGTGTGTGTCTATTTTCTTTTGTTGTGCTTGTCATGAAGACTATATTGAGCAAACTGCCGGGTTAATCATTTCTTTTTCTTTCTTTAAGCGTAAACTACGGTAGAGTTTCATTTTTTTAAAGGGAAACACAATTTGGTGATGCAGTAGTTTATTTATTTTCTAAAACATTTTTTAACAAACAGGAAGACAAAATCCTTTTATGTCTCGTTATTGATTATCGTATTTCAGCCAAACAGGCCGGCTGTTCTTCCATCGCTACCCCAGCTTGTACCCATTCTTGTTGTCAGAGTTGGAAGCTGCAACAGCTAACGTTGGGTGAGACTTGATTTATTCGGATGGAATAATTTTTTTTCTGTCTCTTGGAGGTTTTTTTCATTTGTTTGTTTGCCCTTTTAGTCACTGTTTTCTCATTTTTGTTTTTTTCCTTTTGTATAAATATTATCCATCAGTGTAGTTTTCTCAAGCTGAGATTGGGGTCTATGGTGTAACGATCATGATCATCACATTTACAAGCTATATACTTAAGTTCAACCACCATCAGGAGAAAAAACGTTTAATCTTTAATCTCCATTGTCATGATAAGATAAAGTATTCAACTTTGCATCCCTGACAGGTAGGGTTGAATGTTCTTGAATGTCCTTAAATGCTCTAAATTGTTTAAGAAAGGTGCGAAAAATCTATAATCATTTCAATCTCCTGCTCTGGGAGAACTCAAGTGAGATGTCCATAGATAAAAATTAATAGATATAATTAAAGTTCCACTTTTTTTGTTGGCTCACGTACATAAAGTGCGTATGCAAATGAATACATACAAAAATGCTTCAGCGCAACATAATACACAACTTCTCAGCAAAGAAGACAATCTCACATACACACCATTGCTGGCGGCCATTGTGCAGGACCCTGGTGATAATGATGATTACTCTGGACCATACTTGTTTTCTTCCTTTATTTGTAGGTGGTTGACAGGCGTTCTGGTGTGGTTTTCTCCTCTTTCCTATCAAACATGTACTGTCATTATCTGTCCTCCTTCTTTCCTTTGTATGAAACTCTCTAGTAACACCTGTAATCTTTGGCTCTTGACCTATCTGTGCTGCAAGTGCCATAAAATTCTTACTAAAATAACTATCGTCTCTATCTCTCCTCCTTTTCTTTGTACAAAACTCTCTAATAAAACCTCTAATCTTCGGCACTTATGACTTAATTGTGTTGTAAGTGCTGTAAAAGTCTTACTAACACAAAAACTAAAATTTCCATTCCCTTTATTCTTTAAAGGAGGCTAAAAGAGGCTAAAACAGTACGCGGACATGGATGGCTGGTGCCTCTATAAATAAATTATTAATGCTCAAGATCCCTTTATTCTGTAGGTCCAGTTCCGGTCTCCACCTTCACCCAAGCCTGTACCCAGTGCTGCTGGTCCTAGGCCGATTGTTCCCATCTACACTGGAGGGATCGGACACCAGCCTCAGCCTGGCAGCGTTCATACCTTATGTCTTGAAGTAGGACACTAGATCTAGGTTTTTGATCAAGACTTTCTTTTAGGAAAAGCTGATTCATTCTTTTTTTTAATACTTTACTTTTTCTTTTTCATCCTCTGTTGCTGTTAAGCGTCGAGGGCTTTTTTAAATTACTGTTATTAAGTCTTTTACTGAATGTATTGGTGTATATTTATGTATGTTTTTTCCTGAAGCTCTTAGGAAACAAAATGCTCAAAATATTTCTGGATCTCTTCCCTTTTTTTTTTTTTTTTTTGCTCAATATTAACTTCATTCTGTTTTTTCAAGTGTTTTCCATTTGATATCAACAAGCTATCGAGTCAGTAAAAAAAAATTGGCTAATGGCTTTTGTTCTTTAACCTTTAGTTAAGTGTTTTTTCTGTATTAAATGGTACGTCGCATCTTTAAAACATCTCTTCGATTTGGGTGTTGTTTGTGTCCTTATTTCCTGCTCTCTATTCTGGAGAGAACATACACACATACATATCATGTGTTTTTGTCGTCAGGTGTGCTGCTAGTCCAGTTCTGAAGACCCGGCTCATCGCAGCAAGAGCGCTGCGACCTCTGGCTCGGAAGACTCAAGTGATTGACATCAGCTCTCACCTCATGGCCAACGTGCCTGTCTCACCAGACTGTCAGGCACAGCCCAACAGTTACATTCATGGGTCGCTCTTACAGGTGAATGTTTGCTTTGTTTGTGGTTATGCTGATTCTTTCTGAAACCTTCTGTCTTCAGCCGAGAGTGACAGGTTATCCCGGATGTTTCAAACTTTTTGTGGGTAGTTGGCAAGCGCTCTGGTGTATTCTGCTCCTTCATTCCTTTCAAGCATCTATTGTCCTTACCTCTCTGTCTTCTTTTCTTTTTATGTTACTCTCTAAAAAAACCCTCTTATCTTTGGCACTTATTTGACTTTTTTGTTTTGCAAGTACCAAGAAGAAAAAAAACAAAAACCCCAAAAACCCTAACTTCTTTTGTTTCTTAGATAACAGTGCCTAGTCTTATGGATGTAGTGTCCAAAAATTCTATTTTGATGCAATCTGTAAGCTACTTACCATCTGCAAGATGTTGAAGGATATCTTGATACCTTTAGATATTACATTTTTGTCATAGTCAACCTTTTTGCTGTCTATGTTTGATATTTAGATCACTTTCATATAAGTTCTCGTAACAGAAATAAATGCCCTCTTTCTAATGTGTTTTGGGCTGCTTTAGATGTGTCCTTTTCTTTTAATCTTTTCATTACATTTACTGTCCTTCCTTGTCATAGGCCTCTCCAACTTTTTGTACCATTGCCCAAATTATTTTTTTCCTTTTCATATTAGCCTCCTCTCTCCGTTACAAAAATGGCTCTGTCAGGCTGATACTTGATTAGTTAATTTTTGACTCATCTCATTTCATTTCTCTGTTGACTTCTTCTATTTTAGTGATCAAATGTTATTTCTCTCTGTAGCTGACCGAGTTGGTCCCCCTGGTGAAGAGTTTCAACCAAAACTTAAAGAGCAGCTTTCTAACTTCTCTTGTGCCCCTACTGCTGGATAGAGTCTGGATACTCTCAAGGTGTGTCATTCAGCATTGTTGACAGATGTATTGACAGTCTTATGCATATTGTCAGTAGTCAGTACCTTTGAAGATAGTTATGCAACTCTTTTTGGCTTTAAAAATAGTTTTGCAATATATATGGGTCCATGTCCAAGTTTAAACAATAATAAATAAATGTCTCCATAGAATTTGAAATTAGAAGTACTTGTACAACTTTTCTTTCTATCTCGTCAAAGTTTTGACAATGACGAATGTGACTACAGGCTTTGAAATTATTTTCACAATTGGAAAGTAAATGAGGCTGCAAAAAGCTAGATGTTTTCTCTGTTCTATCAGCATTACTATGTTCCTCTTTCTTTTTTTCAGGGCAATAAAGTGTTTTCCATGCTGTTACAGAATGTTGGTCATAACTCATTACCTTTCTGTCTTTCAGCACCAACAAATGCTTTGTGACCAGACAAGCTGGCTTGGAGTTTGCCAGTTCTCTGCTGGACATTGGGAAGTCACTATCAGTCTCAGTGCCTTTTGTGGATGAGCTCTTGGGTCATTTTGTACAGGCAATCTCCGCAGATCACGACTGTCTCTCCCACAGCTCCACCACACTTCGAGAGATGACATGGCAGCCTTGGTTCTATGAGTACCAGAAAACACAAGCCAGACTCTGTCTCAAATACTTGTCAGTTTTGAACACACCATTTCAGAATAACCTTGTCCAGTCGAGTGTCACAAAAGAAGACTTGTCTTTGAGACAAGAAAATATAGCAAACAGTAGAAAAAACTGTCTTTCAGAAATTTCAAACAAAGCCTATGTGAGGAATTCCAGTGGCTCAATGTCACTAACATTGTCAGTGTCTAGCATTAAAAATCTGCTTGGCTCATCTTTCTATGAGGTTAGATTAGAAGTCCTAGATGCTCTTTTAGAGGTTTTAAAGAATTCAGAGTCCCTCCATAGTGGTCACCCCATCACAAATAGTGAGGATGAGGAAAGCAGGGACGTAGAATTTTCTGGTCAGGAGCTGCAGCAAGATGAAGTCTGGACTGGTGATGTGGAGGGAGGAGGTTCAAGTCTGACTGTGGCTGTCGGATGGACAGCAGAGGAGATAAGGTGTCTGTTCCGTGACCTCACAGATTTCCTGCTGGAGATGGCTGAGAGGACAGAGACTCACCATCGATGTCAGGAGAAGGTATGACATAGATGTAGATGTGACAACTTTATAAACACTGGACAGTTATGTAAGAGTTGGGACTTTTTAACCCTTTCACCTCTGACCCCTCGATGCTACCACAATCCACCTGCCTAACATCCTGAGCCTTTCCCACCTGTATTTGGTGCAATCACTGTACGTATCTTTCGCCAAATTGCGTGCCCACAACTTCCACATGAGCCCGAACGTCTTGGCAAGGCATTTGCTATAGTAAATGTAGTACAGCTGTTTTAATTGGCTGATGAATACAGGCTCTAAACATCTCACAATGAGATGTGGTTTCGCTTACCCGTGTACTAGTAGATAGGCTCTCAGGCAATTTTACTTGCCTCTAATGTGCCCATGGCCGTGGCTCAAGAGGTCAATCTTACATCCATGTCTTATATGACAGAGCCAAGTGGGTGTAGAACCTTAGAGACTCCTCGAACAATCCAAAAAGTAAAACATCTTGCTGGGGATTTAAAGTACGGTCATCTGCACCTACATCCAACATGACATCTCGCTCAATGCTGTTAGCATCTTGCCTTCATCATTTTCTGCTTCAAAATTAAAAGTAAATACTCCTTATGAGTTTTTAGGACACAGTGTCACGGAACCAATTGTAAACTATTTACTTAATGTTGACTGTTTTTATCGTAGCTGTCTCTCTTTTGTACAGTGCCGTATAGGTCAGTGGGTGCTCTGTCTTGTCCACTCTTACTTCTTTTCATGAGTGGTTGGAAGGTGCCACAGATTGGTCCTACTTCTTCTATCTCCCTGTGTTGTTTCTCTCTGTCATATTTCAGCCCAGCACTGAATGGTACTTATGGTGTTCATGTGCTTCTCCTGTACTCAAACTCAGACAGTGTATTCCCGGCAAAATGTGGCACATATCAAACTGGCCAACAGTATCTCACAACTCAGCATCATGTTGTCTCTGTATCTACCCTTTCCAGGTATTTCTTGTGCTGGCATCTGTTCCTGAAGTGATGGATATCATCTCGAGACGAAACTCTGAGAGCAACTTGAAGGTGGGCAGTTCAGTTAACTATTTTCTTTGTTTTTTGTTGTGAAAGGAATATACATAGTCTCAGTCTCAGTCTATTTAGTTTAGAAGAACATGATAATAGTCAGGACAAAAATTGCTTTCTTTGAGGGAAAGGTCTCTTCTTTTTTACTCTTTTACCCTGCCAAATTTTGCATTTATCACTCTTGCTGTTCAGTTCTGTGTGTAATAGCTTTAGTGTTTGACTGAAAAATCTCCCAGAATGTGGAATAAAGCAGTACTCAGACAAAATATCTATTCTTATACTGGCATGCAGACTCTGTAAAGAACTTTGTTTAGGCCTTATAAAAGCCATTGTTGTTTTTCCTTTGTTAAACTTATCTCTTGTTGAATTTTAAAAAATTAGCTGACATAGTCTTTTGCACAGGATGTATTAATGAGGGGGTGGTACGTGTGCTCAGTAAACCTTACAACACCTCACAACCCTTGCACTGGTGTCTGTGGTGTAGAAGCTAGGGGCATCGCCACCGCACGCAGAAGACCTGAGTACGATTCCCGTGTGGGGAGAATTTTATTATGTATCTCAGTCCCTCTGCCGAGACGTTGTATCCCTCTCATCCCGGGATCCCTGTCAGTCGGGGTTGATGTCTGCCTTCTAAATGATCCAGATTATGTTGATGGGGCATAAAAACACCTACATTTTTTTTCATGATAATATAAAAAGACCCAGCTCATGCTTTATCTCAAGCATTTTGATCTTCCATTTACCCAATATGTATGTCCCTAAATCCATCTGTAATTTTATGAGTGCCCTTGTCACATACTGAGGAAAGTAGTCTTTCTTGGTGTCACTGAACTAAGTCTTTCTTTTGCGTGCTTCATTTCAGATGTTTTCAACCTTAATTGAGAAACTGAGGGCAGAAAGACGGTAAGCAACTTTGACTTTCAAAATACACAATATTTCCCCACATTGCAAGATGTTCAAGCAAAAGGAAATAAACAAGATAGCAGGCACTGCATTTGCCAAGAACAGCAACATGCCTCATCAGTGAGACTTTATATCTAGATATAAACATGCTATAAGTCCTTAAACTTAATACTGTTCCTGCTTCAACAACATACATGACAACATATGTGGTATATTTATTTTGCATAGTGTGAGTATGTTGGAATAGCAACATTCTTTCAACTTTGAAATCATCTCTCTCTTTTCAGAATTGAAGTCAAGGCAGCTGTTCTAATGTTTTCCAGTTGTGTCATTCCCTTCCTCTATTCCCAGTTGTCGAGTGAGGTGGGTTTCAATGTTTACGGATTTTGTTACTGTATTGTCTATTGATGTTTTTATGGTCTGAAGACAGCAAAAGTAGGTTAATAAATGATAGTTGTTACTTTGTGCTTATATTATTTAACTTATTATACCTGTCATTGTAAAACTGATCTCCCAACAGGGATCAAAGGAGTTTCCTTTTCTTACTTTAATTCAAATAAGTTGGTTATTGGAGGGTGCTATTGGTAGATTTTTTTTTTCCTTCTATTGTTTCTATTTATCTTACTTTTTTCCCTGCACTTAATGCCCATTCTTGTGCCTACGTGCTTCTCCTTACTTAAACAAGCTAAAGTTTTCTTTGCAAACGAAACAACATTTTGTATTTTTCTATCAGAATCCTAGCGTGGCCCTTGGTCTGCTACAACGTTGGGTTCAGGAGTTACAGTCTGGCTGCGTGGAAGAGGAGAGCACAGACTTCCAGATGGCGTGTTGCCACGTGTTACTGCACAATGCTGAGAGATTGCTGGGTTCTACACTGGAGAAGACGAGTGAGGATGATGTGATGTATTCATGCGTTGGTGGTTTGGGTGGGGGTGTGTGTGTATTGATGTGTATGCAATCTAAAATGTATGAATATCTTTAAAATGTGTACTTATTTTTTTAGATTCCCTGGTTTGATGAATGGTTTTAAAACAACACTTGGACTAAAGATGTATTTCAAGCTATATTTTTTCTTACTGCAAGACAACTTTGGTTTATTTCATCAGACTGTTTGCTATGTTCTTCTTGCTTTTCAATTCGTGGAGGCTGTTGACCCAATGAACCTGACCTCCTGAGCCCAAAATAATCTGTCCCCTGGCTTCCTGAGCAAAAAAGCCTACATGACTACACACTTCATGAACTCTGCGTGCCTTCTTTATTCAGACCAATTCCCTCTTTCTTGAGCTACCTTGACCTTTAAAGTAATTAACACTGACCTGCAAGTCCTTTTGACGTCATTTTTTCCCTTTTAATTTTTGTACGGAATATCAGTGCTTCGGGGCAAGGACAAATAACTCGCACACCAATATATCGGAATAACAGATTCAGTGGCTTAAAACATCTTGTGTTTTTTCTAACTATTAAGCTGTATATGTACTATAGCTTCATGACAGACAAATCATATGGCTATGAAATACTTTGTTTTTCCTTCAGGCTGTTTGACCTTCCAGTGTTGGGATATCCTGGCTACGTTACTGCAAGAAGACGACCTTGAGGTCAAGGACAAAGCAGCTGATGTCCTTTGTGCTGTGGTTGGATTAGAATTCGGTGGGTTTTATTTTTCTCAAGGCATTGCATTTCATTTGCTCTTCAGAGCATTACTTCTAATACAGTCATGTCTTATATGCGGTGCCCACTACGGATGGGATTGGCCGATTGGGCCGATCGCCCGACTGGATCGCCTCAAAAACAAACAGTTTTTGTTTTCAGATTCAGGCGATCGAGTCGGGCGATGGGCCTGATCCAGCCGTAGCGGGCACCCCGTATTATGATGACTTATTCCATCGCCAGTGTATGGGAGAATATGTTTGGAAAGTTGATAAAGCAACTTTTTTCAGTCGCTCCCTGTAGGATATCTACTGTGCACGTGGTTTAGCCCAACTTATGGCTTTGTTGGGATTCTTTGTTCCGGGTAAACCCTGGACTGCTCAGTCCACCTTTGACTGATAGAAAGAATATGATGGAAAACACAGCAAGGGCAGGATTCGAAAAAACATATAATGTCAGGTGATTGTTTTAATGTCTGAGGAAAATGAGTACATTGGATTTTGAGATGAGACCTGAGTGAGAATAGAATATTTTTGCCCAAATTCTGTTTTAATAAAAGATTCAGACTTTTTTGCCTCCTTTCAATAAAAAAATAAATGTTTCCATTTGAAGAACAAGTGACCAAAGTGCTTCTCTGTATGTTGTTACATTCTTTTTGTTTTAAACTTTGAAATTGATGTTTTATATTATTGGAAAATGGGCAGTACATGAGTTAAAATTAAATAAATACCGCCTTTTTTTTATTGAATGCATGAATTAATACATGAATATTTATGCTCATTAATTTCAACTACCTAGAACCCTATTTTGTTAAAACTTATTTCTCTGCAAAATTTAATTGTGTATTCTCTGTCTATATGTTGAGCTGTCAGGCGCCTTGCTTCCTATGGTATGAGAATGCGTCAATCATATTTCGTAACCGCTAATTTTACACCATGTGTGTGTGTGCCCCACAGGTTCTTATCACCCAAGCCACGCCCTCCACCTGCTGCCGGAGATCCTCTTATCCATCCATAGGGATCAGCATCTCTCCGAGGTGGTCAAATGTTTGGTCTCTTGGGTCCTGGCTGATTGTGGCTCAGATGTCAAGGTATGTTTCAAATTAATTTTGTTGATCCCCTTGGAAAAAATTTGTCCTTAATTTTCCTGTATTACCTCTTTAAATTGTTGTGGATATTTTGGGGACAAAATTGGACAAACAGCCATGATGTTTTTTTATTTTGTTTTGTTTTGGGGGTTTTTCCGCAGTTTAATTTGTAAGAATAAATTTATTTTTACAATCCGTATGTCATTAAGGGGTATATTTCTGACACTAACAAATGCAATTGGTTTTCTTAGGGGGGTCTTTTCCTTCTGTCTACATCTTCCAATCTATGGATGTCATTCATATTCAGTCTGATGAAACAAGTCCCATGGTCCGTGGCTTTATTCCAGGAGTCCAGCGAGAGACTGTTTGACAAAGGAGAGATGAACACTTACTGGGATCAGGTCACTTTCACTCGCAGTATTACCACCTGCCTGGCCAGACTCTTCAGCATCAGTATCGGAGATGGGAACAGCCGGTATCTCTATCAACCAGCAGCTCCATCTTCACTTCAAGACAGACCATCACCTAGTCAGATCTCTCAGCTTCTAAAAGATTCGAATGTAGAAGAGTTTTTTGTGCAGTCAGCTTCTTGTGTAGTGAAAGAATTGGGGGATCAAGATAGTAAGTGTCAGAAACTGGATCGCCTCCTGAATCCAGTGAGATATGGGTCTCTGTGTCAGACAGTGTTTAGAGGGCGTGTTCTTGTTGAGTTGCTCGCCACATTTACAACAGATGATTGTGCATGGGCAGAGGTTAAAACAGCTGTGAAGATCCTGAATGATGCTGTAAATCAAAGCGTGAAGAAGTTTCAGTTGGTGAATGTTCTTTGTGGCACATCTTTACTGTAATGATGAATGGGTGTTAAAGGGGGTGGGGGTGGGGACGATGTTTCTTGATAAAAACACTTGCTGATGTGAGGTGTTATGGTGATGGTGTCTTTTCATTTGTGATGGATTTTTATGGGCAAAGGAATACCTACCCTCATGCAGTATGTATAATATATATTTCGTGTTTTGTCTGAGTTGATTGATTCACTAAATTTTTAAAAAGAGTATTAGACTGGATCATTGAATAAAAACTAGAGTCTATTCTAAATTTATTTTGATATTGTGAGTACATTTTTATTTAATTTGACGGTTGCTATGAAATTAATGAGATTACAAAACTGATCCACCCATTAGATAGGTTGACTGGAAATAACCTCTCAGCTGGCTTTCCTGGCAGTGCTACAAGTACAAGTATCTCATTTTTTTAGAAAATGGAAATGTGCAGTATGAATGTGAGGCGTGCTGGCAAAATGAGTTACCTCTCGCAATCCACAAATGAAGATATGGGCCAAAAATCGACACCAGGGTCAAATTTGTAGATTTTCTATTGGTGCCATATTCTTTAACTAAAACCTGTCTTTTATTTTTTTCATACTTATTAATCGTAAAAATTTCACCTATTATTTATAAGCGTGATGTATCTATTTCTTTAAGGCTTGAATCCGAGAAGTAACTCATTTTGCCAGCATGCTTCACAAATGCTATTTATTATTTGCATTACTATTACTTTCGAACAGCCATTTGTTCGTCTACTGGGGTGTGTTAACTGTCAACAAACTCTGACAATCAGTGGGTTTCTTCTACTATTTGAAAATAATGATAGACATTAAGAGGAAAAAAAGAAAATGCATCGAGTACCAGATGGCCCCTCAAGAGGTTAACGTGCATGCAGTGTCTTTTTTTTTTTTGTCTTTTTTTTTTTTAGGTGTATAGAGAGAACATGAGCTTTACAGGTTTTGTGAATTTCATAACTGGATCGGAAAAGTAAGTGAATTTCATAAATGCAAAGAGATGTCACTGTAGTATGTTGTAAAGTATACAATCAATACAAATAAATTTAACTGTGTTTCTATAATCACTCATTTGTTGTGTATTCCATTAGAACTAGATTAGAAATTACAACAAAAGATAAAGACATAAGTACCAAGGTAAATTTATTTTGTTGTAAACGTGGTGTTAAGCAGACTTTTAAGGCCAAAAAAAGAAACCAACCCTGAAAAGGTTCTGGTATGTTTTCTGATGACTGCCCTTTGTAACATGACGAGACCAGCATGCAAGAAGGTACGGATTCTTTTCCAGCACATTTGACAACATTAGGGTCACCATTTGCACAAAAAAGACGGGTCCACCAACCTGTTCAAAACTCCAATATAATTGGTCTTCCGTCCAGCTCAAGGCAGTGGGAAATGTTTACCCTGCAACTTGGTAGTGTCCTTCTAGCATAATGCTGAAGTTGCTTTCAGTTTTCCAGGATAAACAAAGCTAGCTCTGCTTTTGGTTCTCTAAATTATAGTTTGAAATGTCTGGAATAATAATGTACAGAGTCAAAACGCGGTGTGTATAGCGCTGTGGTATTTACCAACCCTTTTGTTTTGGTGTCCTTGGACAGTGTACAAAACATGTCCGCAAGCTCAATAGGCTTCCGTTTTCCTGTCTTGAGAAGAATACTAATGACTCACTGGAGGGACAAGATCCCAAGCACTGAAGTTGTGGAATTTGGGATCATTACAAGCTGCTCGTTTTCTTTGTCTTTACCATACAAGATACTCATAATAGCTTGCAAGGTCTATAGATTTTTCCTTAGATGTTTAAAAGTGATCACCAGTTCATGATGAGCAGTCTACATTGTACCTCTCAGTATTACTAGTATGATACATGTACACCCCCATCAATAGTTTAGATCGGAGGCAAACTGCCTCAACCAAACAGGTCTCAGTCGGGACCAACCCGGGCTGAGAGGGATCTTACAGATTTCGTGCTGAGAGAAAGATGCTCAAACTTAAAGAGAATAATACATTTCCTGAATTGGAAACCAACCTCCGTTCCTTTGCATGCGACTGCAACACATCTAATCATTAACTTACACCACAGAATCCGGCATACTCATCTCGGAGTACTCATATTTTTCATACAACAACGCAAAAGATCAGTACAGGGTAACCCCAAAAAAACGTTACAACTTGTTTTTAAAATATCTTCCTCCATACTAAAGTTTTGCGTTTAAGTCTCAGATTTGAACATAACGTTTGGAAGCCAAAAGGAATTCGTCTGATATGTATTTTAGATAAGTCCATTGAATGGTTTTGCTCTATATAGCGCATTAAAAAAACAACCCATTTTCAACCTTGTCGCCATTTTCATAGCATGACGCACCAGTTCGTATTAGGCCTACCACTAAAAGTTGCAACAATCGTGCCATATTGCACGCTACAGCAGTTTAACAAGTCAACAGAAGTCTGCAGATATTTTCTCAAATTTTGTTCGCCTGCTTAGATCATGGTTACGTTTAGTAAAGAGCAGAGAGCTTTTTGTATTGAACATTACCTCTCCACAAACTCACCATCCCTGGCATTTCGTAAGTTCTGCGCACGGCATGGAGAGAATGCCTAGGTGCCCTCAAGACCTTTGGTGTCATGAGTAGAGAAGTTCCGTCAGTTTGGATCTATAGCGAATCAGAACTAAAAAGTTAGATATCTATTTAAAACATGACCACTTCAGGTCGAACACGCACCATGCGCAGCCCTTTAAACGTCACCCGAGTGCAGATTTCAGTAGCCGAGTCCCATGAGACGTCTGTCCGTGGATGATTTGCAGCTAGGACTTTCCTAAACCTCAACAGTCTGCATTCTCATGGCAGATCTTAACTTACGACTGTACCTTTTTCATTTTCGCTGGGCCGAAATGACATGGATCAGAGGATGGCAATGTGTTCCTGATTCCTCGATTGTCTTGTAAAGAGGGATCTTTTCCTCGATGACATTTGGTTTACTGCAAAGCCCATTTTCACCCTACGGGACACGTTAACTCCAAAAATGCTATGTGTATTGGGCACCCCACTGTGTTGTCTCTAGAAGACACTTTTTGGTGAACATGTACAGTGTATGTGGCTTTAAAAACTCATTTTTAGCAGGTCCCTGTGTAAGGGCGCCCTTGAACATTTCGAACGACGCGTTAAAAATGTGTCGAGTCCAAAGGTGGGAATGTGAAGCACTGCTTCTAGGAATTTCAGAATGAAATCATAAGGTTTTGTCAACTCTGTCAAGAATTTAAATATTGTTTAAATGTCACAGGGATGGATAATTAATGTCAAGAGAAAATAAAGAAAAAGGTTAACTAATCATTTCACGACTTCCTTCACAAGATTTTTACGACTTCCTTCACAAGATTTTTAAACATTGGTGAAGTTTGCGTTTTTGGGTGCATTTTTCTTTTAGCCGTTTCCGTTTTCAAAACGTGTTTCTTCTTCGTGGATTTTATACCAAACAAATTCCTTTTGAATAAATTAAGTCTCTTTCAAATTACAGCATTCTAGAACAATTTTTGCGCGAGATATTCAGAAAAAAAGTTGTAAAGTTTTTTTGGGATCACCCTGTACTTTTCCATAGTCAGTTTAATTGTAATTGCAAAAATGGAGACTGCGTAGTAGTAGTAAAAAAATAAAATTTCAATGAAATCTAAACAATTTAAGCGATAAAAAGAAAATGCAACTCAACATGCTGTCTAAAGGTCCTGATCTGTTTGGTATAGTTCATAACCATTGTCTTGCATTCAGCTGAAACTGATATTGATATTGGCCCTTGTATTATTTTTAAGTTTAATTAGCACATAGAATGTAGAAAAAAAAATTTGACTTTTTTTTCTTCAAATATTCGTTTTCAATTTCAGCTGACCAATTCAAGAGCAAACTATACTTCATGTGTCGACAGGTTTTCATCAAAATTGGCCACAAAGGGTCATCATGAGCAATTGTACTTTGTTTTGCACTGGTACTGGAAATGCTGTAAATAATAGACCTACAGTACGCAAATTGTGTCAAATCAATACTTGTCATTGGTAACATTCATAAATAGTAATACTGTTTCTGAAAAAAAAATGCCATACACTTGGAAGACTTCCCACTGTCTCCAGTAATTCTGTGGTGGATAACAAGTTCTACCTTGATGGACATTTTGATAATAGCACCTCAACCAGACCATACGATCTTTTCTTTTTATTAGCAGCATTAGTTATCTACATCCAGTGATATTTTCAAAGTATAGCATCACTTGTCACTATAATGCTACCTAATAGCCATCGAACAAAAGGCAATAACATAAGCAAAAATAACGCAGATGTTTGCTCCATAATTGAGATTTCCAGGGACAAATTATGTTGTGAGCACCACCGTGCATGCACCATCGTGCATCGGAGGAGCAGATGATGATTGTCAAAACATTGCACAGATAACAAGTTAACAAGTGGCCACTCACTCTGGGCTTGGGGATCAAAATAAAGCAAATTCTTTGAGTAGCCTGCACACCAAAGACCACAAAAAGCACAAAAACTGGGAATGTATAACACAAGTGAAAGATTAGGGTCTGGAATGCATATTAGCAGCTTAAGCACACAAACAAAATTGTACAGAATGTAAGTCATCAGATTTTATCTCAGTACAATCAGTAAAAATAAAAAAGAAGCATGTGCATCAGACAGTCAGTTCAAAATAACAAGACCACACCGAATTACAATATCTTCACATACATCTTTTTCAACAAACAAACACTTACGTAAGTGAAGTCAGACAGAAAATCTAAGAGGAAAAGGAATTTTAAATGAAAGGAAAACAGTACAAACCGGGGCCTTGAAATAAGCAAAAGAGAAACAAGAGAGAACCACTCAAACTGATACCAGTGCTTATACAAAAACACTCGAAACAATTCGACCCATAATAATGGTTCATTAGAAGAATCTGTTCAGTTTTTTAAAACCACCCCTGTGTTGAAAATACACGCCTTGTGGAGAATAAATTAAAGAGAATTTCAATAAGTGTAAGAAATAATTTCTGAATATATCCGTTCATATCTCCTCAGCATGGCACTGGGTCAAAAAAATCGTAGAATGCCTAAGGCTTCTTGAAACCTAGCTATGTCAAAATACACACAGTAAATGGAAAGCTGAAACATTTTGAACTTGTCCTACAACGTGTGCTGGCACTTCTTGAGATTCCGAATACTGTTGCAGAGATGTGGGTCTCTGTTCTGCTACCAAGCTCTGGATATCTCCGTTCACAACCGTCTCACTCACAGGACCAAAGTCCTGTACAGCCACTGAAAGACATTCAAACACAAATGTTTGAGAGTGAGTGGTATCGGTGGGGGTTTGGGTTTTTTTTGATTGATTGAGTGAGTAGGTGTTTTACGGCACCATCGACTCAATGTGATATCGGAGGGAGAGAAAAAAATTATAGGGAACAGAGAGAAAGGGGAGGGCGAGAGAGCTAGAGGGTATAGTGGGAGAGGAAAGGGATGGGGGGGGGATAAAAATAAAATGTTTATTTGAGTATTCACCATTGATAAACAAGTGTGCTGGTTAAAGTAATTTTAGTCAAGAAGTACACTGATCCTTTCTTCAAAAGGTGAAAGTGTGGTTCAAAAGGATCCATTAATTATTATTACTTCTATTAAGTCACTATCCTTATTTTATCACTGTCAGTATAAATTTATAAATGCCCACAGACTTTATTAATGAACTAATAATATCATTTTCATTGTCGTTATTACAGCATCGTTTTCAAGAAACAAAAGTCATGAAATAGTCATTGAGCAAAGAACGAATGAATGTTTAAGAGGAATACAGGTGAAAAAGACATACCTGTTCAAGTTCAAAAGGGGCTTTACCATCAATCTGGTTTTCTTGGAATACACCTATGGATAACGAGTGATATAGAGTTTATGATAATAGTAAATATGCACAGTAACAATCATGTCACCAGAAACGTTAAAATAATAAGTAAGGACCAAAAAGATTTGAAAAATTATATCACATCATGGTACCATCCAATCTCCCAATGGAAAAAGCTACAAAACTACACAAGGCCTAAAGCGTGTTTTTATTGTATTAAAAATTTTTTTTTTCAAATTTCAATTGAGAATTCACTGTGATGAGACTAATAATATTGGTCAGATGAAGTTAACAAGCCGTGGCACTGAAATCAATTTTACTCGTAATCATTGCTGTTGATGTGTTGCAGTGTTTGTTACAGTTGGTGAGCGACTCCAGGCTTACTTAATGTGGTAGAATGATCCTGTCCACTTTATGTGCTTATGTGCTTTCAAGTCAGCTTCAGTAATCACAACTCCCTCTCCACCCAAACCCATAAACGTACTTTAAGTCCTCCAAGTCAGACTCAGTGTCTTCCACCCCCACCCTCCCTCCTTACCCCCAAACCACCAGTACAAACGTCCAGAGACGTATTGTAAGTCTTCCGGGTCAGTGTCAGTATCAACCCCCCCCCCCCAACCCTCCTAAAAACACCTGTACAAACGCCCATAGACTTATGGTGAGTCGTCCAGGTCAGTTTCAGCAGTATGCACCCCCCCCCTCCCCACCACCAGCATAGTTGTCCATAAATTTGCTATAAGTCTTCCAAGTCAGTTTCGGTAACCCACCACAATTACAAACTCCCATAAACTTACTGTAAGTCTTCCAAGTCAGTTTCAGTAACCCACCACAATTACAAACTCCCATAAACTTACTGTAAGTCTTCCAAGTCAGTTTCAGTAACCCACCACAATTACAAACTCCCATAAACTTACTGTAAGTCTTCCTAGTCAGTTTCAGTAACCCACCACAATTACAAACTCCCATAAACTTACTGTAAGTCTTCATCAAGCGGGCCATCGCAGCCAGAAAGTTGTCCAGACTGATCTGGCCGTTTTCATCCGCATATCGGAAGATAAGCCTTCTCAAAACCCAGTTGGGCAGTTTGTAGCCTGAAATATGCCAAATACAGCGTGAGATAGTCCAGGAATTTTCAGCCGTCTTCATCATTGACGACATTTTTAGATATTTGCACAATGCCGTTAACCTTTTGCCTTAGTTCACTGGAAAAGGTTACAATCAAAGCTACCAAATACTTAAGTCAAACTGCTCTACTTCCATGATCAAATTTGTGGAAAATAAATAAATAACTGCAAATGGCAACTTAAAATGAGGCATAAAGAAACCATGAAAAAATTGATAAAAGCATATGTGTCACGACTTGGAGGAATCAGGCGCTCGTCAATTTTTTTGTATATGGAATTATTGGTATTATCATAAAGCTTATTCATTTGTCTTGCTTTTGGTGAAAGAAATATCCATTTATCTTGATAAGAAGTCAAAATATTTGCGATAGAAAAAGGTGGGGGTCGCCTGGTGTCAGAGGTAAAATTAGCGAGAAAATGGCGGCGAAAGTTGGGTTTCTTCCAAAGCTTGAGCGTCCTTGGAGACTGCAAATTATTTACATTTTTTCCCCTTAACGTTTTCAAGCAAAAATCTACGCAGAAATGTATTTTTATATGGACGTAAAAGATGTTGAGGAAAAAAATCAATAAAATTCGCCCTAGAATCTACGAGCATAAAAATGTTAATTTTTTTTTTCGATTTCGTTATTTTGACGAGCGCCTGATTTCATCACGATGCCTCACATATAGGCCTATCAACGTGCCACTGTGATTCTAAGCAATCTCCCCTCCTGGCTCGACTTACAGCACATGATTTGGTAAAGGTAAACTTGGGCCTCTATTGAGGACATACTTAACCGAATACATACATCCAGATTCTCCACTCACTGGGGGCCACATCTGAGTCACCATGACATCTGGTGCAAATGCTACTTACAAGAATGGGAGTCCATCATTTTTTTGGGCAGTGGTTTAGTTACGCATATTGCCGTACAACACAAATTCACTCTTGCCCCAACAATGAAAGCTTTTTTTAAAGTTACTCCCTACCATTTCAGCCCAAAATTACGGCGAAAATATTGTGGAGAATTTTATATTCATTTTCAGACAATAATTCAGCGTTTCCAAAGTAATTCAGATCTAAACCACAGAGGTTGAGGTACTGGTATTACAAGATAGCGTTAACTTATGCACTGAAAACCCATTTCCACATACACATCAAACATATTGTGTATGATTCAGAGTAACAAAAACTGCTGACATTTTTTTAAAAATATCAGAACAGAAAAAAAGGTACTTGCCAGCATCATTCAATGCCGATCTCAGTTCTCTGGAATCTAAAGACCCTGACCGATCGATGTCAAACTTGTAGAATGTTTCCTGTGTGAAGGAGGAAAAATAAAATTATTGAATACACAACTGTGGCTACATCAGCTTTAAAAAATGTACACTTTATAAGTAAATTTTAAGAGAGAATGTGTGTTTGTGTGCGTGCGAGTGAGTGTGAGTGTGCGTGCGTGTGCGTGTTCGTGCGTGTGGGTGCGTGAGTGTGCGTGCATGCGAGCAAGTGGGAATGCTTGCAGATTTGTGTGAGTGCGTATGTGCGAGTTACGTGTAACTTAATTTCTAGATGTATAAATAATCAACAGACTACCAACTAATAACATTTTGTCAAACATAATACCCTCAACGCTGTATCACTTTTTTTTTAAATTAGATAATTCATTCATTCGCTTTTTGTTAATATTTCTTAACGTCTCTGGATGGCTTTGTTCAATTGTGTTTGTTGGGTAACGGTTAGGTGCTTTGTCATCAGATGCAAAAGACATTGGTTCGATTCTCGTGTGGGGAGGTTTTTATTGAGAATCTCCGTCTCACTGCTGGGATATTATATTTCCCTCAGCCTGTATTGGCTTCGACCAGAGGAGTCAAAGAAGCCCGCTCCTTAAAATTTGTATCTAAATTGTGCTTTGAAGGAGTAAAACACATAAAATTTCTCATTGACAACAATTCTCCAAATCAGTGACACAACATACCTTCCAGATGCGTAACTGATGCCATAAGTTCTGGAACTCTTTGAAAGACAGCATGTCTTTGCGATCAACCTTTATGCAAGTTAAGAAAAGGCATTTGCGCATAAAATCTTCAAATGAGCAAAGAAATGACATCCGATTACATATTATTGTTGCATTTTTTTAAACACACATAAAGCTATATTTCCACAGACAATGATCTAACGCTATGTTCTACATCAGGAGATTATGTTGAACTGTTAAATTATATCAATATGCGCGCCTATGCATGGCATTTTGCGTCTTGGCAGACTATTATAAAGCACTATGCACAATAGTTTAGCCTTTTTTTTTGCCTGTGTAGTAGACAAAGGAAAGTAGACTGCCCACATAATTATTGCTTCCTTCCCTTCACACCTTGACTTCCGTGGTATGTCCCAAAGGAGAGACATAGTCAAAACGATTGGAATCAAGGAAGATGTTAGGGATGGGATGTCTCTTTTTTTTTTTTTTTACAGGTTTCATATGAATTTCTAAAGAATATGCAGGCAAAAATGTTTTGGTCAAGTGAAGACAAAAGAACAAACGTATCGTTTGAAAGTATCAGCCGTATTGCATCAATGAGAGAATGTGGGTGCTTGGTGGGTGCTCTTGTGTTAGTTGCTCCTTCTTTCCTGTCAAATATACACCGTCCTTTTCACTCATTTTTATGTATGTTACTCTTGCAGCGCATTATTTTTTCGGCACTTACGAGACACTATGTAGCACGTGCCGTAAAAAACACTTACTAAAACTAAACGAGGAAAAAATTGTGGACCCTCACCCATACTCACAAGCTATAATAAAACAGGTGTTCTTCAAACATTTCATATCACTTTCCAAACTTAATGAGAAAAGGTTATTATTTCATAGTTATGAAGGGACTTGGCATGCTTCTCTGTGCGAGAACTTTTCTCGTTTCTCATTGTATTACAATTTAGTCCTTTTCCAGTTCCATTTATTTATTATGAACTTTGAGGGGGGGGGGGGGGGAGGGGG